GCTGGTTCAAAAACTGTTTTCTTAGCCATATTGTCTAATTCATATTAAAATCATTGGAGAACAACTGCTCTCTGAGTGCTGTGTTTTGCAGATCCACGTAGAGCAGTAATATTTCACTTTATGGCTGACACTACAGGCAAGAACTCTTTGCTTCAGATTTTATCAGTATTCTTGAAACCGACTCTGGGGAGTCAGGAGTCGGCAACGAACTTAAGACTCGTCTAGTTTTGTAATAGTGATTCTTCTGCCAGCCGTAATGAGAGCAACAATCGTTTTCACTCCAGTGGTTGACTTACCACTGCGAGATCTGTCGCTAAGTTAAATTTCTTCTTTCTCTAGGACTGCCATTAACTCTATCATCCCATTTAACTGCTGTGTAGAAATCAAGTTAAGTTATTAAGTGGAAAGGTCAAATAACTTTTTGACGTAAAAATTATTTTATGGTATCCTCGAAATTTTGGTTAAAAGTCTTGTTTCTCTTGTGCCAATGTTGTACTATAAATTAGTCTGGTAAATTTGGGATTTTTTTTTGGGGGGGGGGTTTGCAGTGCAAAATACATTGATTTGAAAAATCTTGAAAAATCAGATAATTGTCTGAATTTCAGCACGTATTCACAAAAGAATAAAATTAGTTTAAATGTTTTATTTTATTTTATTTTTTACATCTTGTACTTCAACTCGCCAATTATTTAATTTTATGAAATTTCAGGAAATGTTTATATTAGTTATAGGGGCAATTTCTCGGAGAATTTAAATTTGATTTTTTTTTTCACACAGGACCCCTAATTACAGAAAATCTATGGTGACAATAGTCAATAAATTAATAAATGCTCAAGCATCTTATCTCTTGACAAAGTTTCGTGTAATACCGTTCATCAGGCTTAGATGGTCAATAATAATAATAATAATAATAATAATAATAATAATAATAATCTGTAGTTGCATAGTACAGGATTTAAAATTTGGCCCAATGCTTACTAACTAGAAATTATCAAGCAAACATGCTGAAACATTGTGTTGACCCGAAATGCAGATTCTGTGATGAATATCCAGAAACAATTGACCATCTTGTATCAGGTGGCACGATATTAGCAATCACTAAATATAAACCTCAACATAACAGGGTGGCCAATATTTGCATTGGAAAATTTGCAATTTTTAATGGAAGGACTGCACAAATTAGTATGAAAACAACAGATACATTTACTGACATAGAACCTGTAATAAATGTATAGGACTTCACATACAGATAGGATAATCAAAGCTAATCGTCCAGACACAGTAATCGAAGACATAAAAACAGAATGTGTTTTCTTATTGACATGACAATTCCAGCAGACTCTAATATATCTTTGAAAATCTTCAAAAAGATTTAAAAAATGCAAAGATCTTAAAGTCGACATCTAAAAAATGTGGCACATGAATACATCAATAATTCCAGATGTGGTTGGCGCCCTAGGTTTGATTAGAAAAGGTTATGATAGAATAATCGCCCGTGCCTTAAAGAAATACAAAAATCTGCTCTCCTGAGTACAGCATACCCCCTAACAAAGGTGTTTATCAATGTAAAATAGCGTGATCTTGTGTTTTTTTGGTTTTTTTTTTCATTTACAAAAATGTTCAGATGCCATTTCTAACCTTTGGTCTGTGTTTTGCACACGGAAGGAAATGTGTACACAACAAAAATCAGAAGAAATAATAATAATAATAATAATAATAATAATAATAATAATAATAATAATAATAATAATAATAATGATCCTGGAAAACTGCTTCCGTGGAAAAAAAAATCTTAGTATTGCCTGGATAGATTATCGTAAAGCATTCGATAGTGTACCACATTCCTGGATCTTAAAGTCTTTAAGTATGTACAAGGTATCACCCGTTATCATCAATTTCATCAAACAATGTATGTCGATATGGAAAACTACACTTTACCTCAATCATAAAAATGGAACCTATAAGTCTGGCGAAATAAACATCAATAGAGGAATATTTCAAGGTGACTCTTTTGTCTCCTTTATTATTTTGCATATCACTTATAGCATTAACCAGCCAACTTAACAAGACAGAATGCGGTTACAAAATAGCTCAAAAGAAAATAAACCATCTATTTTACATGGATGACTTAAAATTGTATGCTAGGAATGACAATGAGCTGGAAGGTCTTCTGCAAACTGTAAAATGCTTCAGTGAAGACATTGGAATGAAATTCAATTTGATAAATGTGCTAAAGCTACAGTTTTACGAGGATCGCTACAACAAACTTCCTCTATTAGTTTAGACCCTGCTGTAACAATAAAAGATTTAGAACAAGGAGAAGTGTTTATAAGTACCTAGGTGTAAATGAGAGTGAAGGAATTCACCATAAGAAAATGAAAGAAATAGTGCGTAAAGAGTACTATAGAAGGGTACGACTGGTATTAAAAACTGAATTGAATTCTCAGAACAGAATTATGGCCATTAATAACCTTGCCATCCCAGTGGTCCAATATAGTTTCAACATCTTGAACTGGACTCTAAATGACATCAGACAAATGGATTCTAAAACAAGAAAGCTTCTTTCTAAGTATAAGATGCATCATCCAAAGGCTGATGTAGACCGTCTATTTATATACCCCGTAAAGAAGGTGGAAGAGGTCTTATTCAGCTAGAATTGTCATACAAGACAACAACTATTGGATTTTTACTAACTTACATGGAAACAACAAATGACTGGATGATAAAATTAGTGAAACAACATGAAAACAGAAAGAAAAAAATATTCAATAATAAAAAGAAGGCAGTAAATACAAACAACATTTACATTTAGTAGATTCTGTAGTAAATCAAAACAGAAGCCAAGAACCAACTATTGCAGCAAAAGATATGAAAAGAAAGCCAAGGATAAAGCCCTTGAACAGATGAAACAACGCTGGCAAGACAAACCTCTGCATGGCCAATATCCAGAAATGCAAATAAACCCAATGTTGATAAAGTTAATACTCATCGATGGTTACGAGCATCTGGATTAAAGTCTGAAACTGAAGGTTTTATTCTTGCAGCGCAAGACCAGAGTCTTTTCACTAGGAATTTTCAGGCAAATATCATACATAATAATGTGGATCCAAAATGCAGGTTCTGTGACAAATACCAAGAAACAATAGACCATCTAATCTCAGGATGTTCTATACTTGCCCCAAATGAATATAAAAATCGTCACGATAGAGTGGGGCAATATTTACACTGGACAATGTGCAAACACTTTGGAAAATGTGTAAGCAAACACTGGTATGAACATCGGCCAGCGCCGGTTACAGAAATAGAAGATGTCACCATTCTATGGGATTATACCATCCACACAGACAGAAAAATTGAAGCAAATAGGCCGGACATTATTGTCAAAAACCAGAAAGAAAAAAACTTGCCTACTAATTGATATGGCTTGTCCAGCGGATTGTAACATAGCAACCAAGGAATTTGAAAAACTATCAAAAATACAAAGACCTGGAAATTGAAATAGAAAAAATGTGGAAATTGAAAACAAGAATAATACCAGTGGTAATAGGTGCCTTGGAATTATAAAAAATGGAACAAAACAACACATTGAAAGAATCCCTGAAACCCCAGCTTAAGAGACATACAGAAAATTGTCTTATTAAGTACAGCACACACACTAAGGAGAACTTTGTTTATGTAACGCTAGCAACTTCATCGGAGATAAAAAAAAAAAAAAAAAAATTAACATGAAATGTGGCCATAACAACACACACCACGACCTGCCTTAGGTCTTTCCGCAGACTTGGTAGGTAGTGTGTCCATAGCAGAAATAATAATAATAATAATAATAATAATAATAATAATAATAATAATAATAATAATAATAATAATAATAATAATAATAATAATAATAATAATAATAATAATGATGATGATGATGATGATGACACCAACAACAACAATAAAAATAATAATAATAGCAGCAGCACCTATTAAAATTCTGCTTGTTCCTCCCTTCCTTAGTTGGTTAATTAGTTTGTTCTCACGGCCGTTACCCCCTGCGAATACCTCATAAATAATGGGCTATTCTGTTTTGACCGCATGAAAAGACGGAACTGACATATCAGAGAAGTTACTTTGTAACAGTGAGAACTGAATGAAAAAAAGAAAGAAAGAAAGAAAGAAAGAAAGAGAGAAAGAAAGAAAGAAAGAGAGAAAGAAAGAAAGAAAGAAAGAAAGAAAGAGAGAAAGAAGGGAAGATAGACCTGTTTAACGTCTGTTTCTGTGAAATAGAAAAAGTTAATTTCAAATTTTATTCATTTGTACCCACATACTTCTCAAAATAACAACCAGTATTCATATGTATGATTGTTATTGTAATATTTTTTAAGTTGTTAAGCTCAAATATTTAACGATACGATAGGGGAATTTCTATGGATATTTTATTACCGTACAAATCGCCATGAGTTTATCCAATCATTAGCGTAAGTATTAAGATTCAACAGATTATCAAAATAGGAAAAGCGTGCAATTTTTACGGATATGAGTATTTATAATAATGATAATAATAATAATAATAATAATAATATATTATAGCGTCGATTGATAACTAAAATATGCTAATGAAGATAATATTGCGTATGACCAATATTCGATCGTTCTATGAAGGCCTGTTGAGATGTTCTTTGTGTCAATTCGCTGTGTGATGGCATTGAATAATGGCGCTCTTTAGTCGGAGTAAAGTCGCAATCTTTCATAGAATGTTTGACGCGAGATCACGAAGCAATAAAACAACACTTCTGTAGAATGAGACCTGAAACGAGAAATGAATTTTACATCACGATAACGAAAGGACGTCTTACAGTTCATAAACGGGGCAAACTGCGGGCAGCCTGAAATTAACAGTTGGTGAAATTCGAAAGAGGACTTGAAAGAGTAATATACATTCATTCAATGATGAAGCTGAAGTTATTGTGCGCATTTGGGTTAAGAGCAAACCATAAAGTTTCTGCAGCAACGAA